ATATATAATACGATAGTGATATCATATACATATATATATACAGATAGCGTATGTATGTATATATGTATATGTATGTGATGGTATGGTATGGTATGGTACGGTACGGTACGGTAAGGTATGGAATGGAATGTAATAGAATGTAATGTATGTATGTGTTTGTGTGTGTGCTAAGTCTAGTTCACCCACCTCTTTCGGAGAGAGATGTTTCACCACCGGCCTGACTGAAAAGCTTGCCTTAGATGCGAAGTGCAACTGTCATATATTTCTATCGCAGTTCCTAGTGCTGTTCCTCTTCGGGTCAGTTTCAAGCAGGTTACTGTTCCAAAACCCGTAGCAGGACCTTGGTAGCACAAAAACCTCCTGTTCACATTCTTTCCACCAAGGTTTGCTGTTGCCATTTGGGAGGCGGAAAGACCGTCCCATGGACTTCTAGTCAATCTAAGTTGCTGGCGAGACTGTGGGCGCGAAAGGATGTTAATTGTAGCTTCTCGAGAAGCAACAGAAGAGATACGTATATAATTAATTATAATTACCAGACGATTCCTTGTGAACTTGTTTGTGTTTTCTGCTAAGTGGCCTTTAGAAAGAGGTCAGTTAAGGAAAACGTAGAAAGAGGTCACTTAAGGAAACGAACCAAACAGTGGCCAACCAGTGACACGCAAGTGACACGCAAGTGACACGCAGGTGACACGCAGACAGCCAATCCTTAAGTGACCTTTTCAAGGCTTAAGTGACCTTTTCAAGGCTTAAGTGACCTTTTCAGGGTCCTAAGTGACCTCGTTTCATCCCACCTCGAAACCCCAGTGACACGCAAGTGACACGCAGTGACACGCAGAAATCGTGAGATCAGCCAGGCAAAGAGGTCACTTAAGGATTCATGAAACGAGGTCACTTATGCATGATTGATCTTGTAAGTGACCGTTTGGCACTTTGGGTCTAAGTGGCTTCCATTAGAGGGCAGAAGTAACTGCCTGGTATATATATACACATGTATAAACATATGTATATATATATATATGTATGATATTTGAAATTTGGGTTGTTGCGGTTTTGCATGGTTTTAAATTGAACCATTGGTGTCCAAAAAGTGCGTTGGGTTCCAGTTCACCATTTGCTGAATGCAGGCAGCCTCAAGTGCGCTACCAGATGTATGGACAGTGGACATCGCACCAGATTGCGACTTGTCAGAAGAGGATGGACCAGTGGAGAGGCTCCAGAAATTGGAAGAAATCACTATGTGCTTGTCCAAAAGTGGGTGCCCCTTAAAATCAAACAGTTTATGTATCTGAGTTCGGGATTGTAATCGCAATGGTGCGGTAATGTCCCAGCCAATATTCTAAGCAAAAACATGTGAATAAATATGGTTGTACACTATCAATATTAGTTTTTTTTGGCTATTTTGATTGCTTTTTTCCTGAGGTTTGTGGCTCGTTACTGAATCCCCGCTACTCTTTGTAGGCATAAGCAGGTATGAACGCTATTTTTGAGGAGGGTGCATTTGTTTAAAAGCAGCATCGCGATGAGGTTGATTGGGTAGCACCACCTATCGCACTATTCCATAATCATTTTTCTGATGTGTGAGTTTGAGACCTGTTGGCTTACCCCTCTCCTAAAAGGCTATGCCATAAGATTTGAGGACTCAATGAGTCATTTTCTGGAACTGATGGTAAGGAGGCCACTGGCACTCCCCTTCAGCATCACGGAGCACCAGCAAGAAAAGATGATAGAACAGATAATAAAAAACACTTTTTAACACATACCCAGTTGCAGTGGTGACATCAAAAAAAGAACATAGGCATAGGCCACCCCAAATTTCAGTTTCGACATTTTGAGAGTGCTGGGTTTCTTGCTGGGCACCTGAAAGAGGTGGGGCCTTGGCAGTTTCACTCACGCAAGGCAAGGGCCTCAAAGGTTGATGTGGTTGGTCTCAAGAGATCGGCTGGGAAATAGAAGCGCAGGTGTACATACTGTACATACGAAATCATGTATATATATAATATATTCATAATCACATGTGTATAATATTATACATACATCTATCATATAATGTTTTAATTCAAATAATATAGATATATGCATCTATATAGATGTAACATGGTGCAGAGAATGAAGGAGAGAGATCATGTGATTACAGCCAAGAATGGTGGAAAGAGAAGGGGTAGGCAAGAGTGATGCGATGTGTTTGTTGCGGCGGCCGGCCACAAAAATCCCTGACCGCATATTCCGTTGGGAAGGCCGAAGATTTTAGATTTGCCATTTGCGGTTGGTGTTTTAGAAGTTGTTTGGGTCCCTCTTGTGTTGCTTGCATCCTCATATTATTCCATTGTTGTAGCCTGTGCCACCTATGCCCTCGACTCTTAGTTGACGTTCAGTTTGGTATAGATGTGACAGAAATGCAGCAATGAATTCAGCTTCGTGCACCCACCATATATGTAGCAGAAAGTATACGCGCCGATGTTCCCCTTGGATTTGTTTCATTGCCACCCGCTAGGTTCGCAATTTGTCGCCCGCAACTCCACGGCATCGGTGCTGCCGGGTGTCTCAGGTGTGCGATAGATTCATTTGATTAGATGAGATTAGATTAGATAGAACTGTGCTATTTCCAAGTTGGTTGCCCTACATAGGAAACCCTGTCCAGGAGGACGAAACGACCCCAATATTTGGATGGCTGTGTTGGGGTCCAGGCCAAAATTTAGAGCTTCGGACTCACCAAAAAATAAAACACGCGCTAGGTGACACCATTTTAAAACGACATGGCACACAACCTGTGAGTGTATGGAGTTCGCACACTTATATATGTCAATGTATATAATCATCCTGACCTAGATATGGAATGTTCAAACAAAATTATTTTCAGTGGGCATTTGTTTACATGTCCATATTCTTTTTAATTGCCTTCGGCAAGCCCGCCTGCCATAGAGAGGTGGCCCCAAGGGAGCTTGATGTGCATTCTAGGAGGAAGCCCGCGAGAGAGCAGAAGAGAAAATAAGGAGAAGAAGAAGCATAAGAAGAATAAGAAGAATGAGAAGAATAAGAAAGGAAGACGAAGACAAAGCCGTAAAACGGAAGCGGCTTGTGTAGCAAGGTTTGCTGTAACTACCTTCTGACTGTATACCAAATTAGTACCGCCCCCAGCAAAGTAGCGCCAGGTACTATGTATGAGCCTCTGGCTTGACAGCAGACCACTGCATGGAAGGAGACAGGGGAGAGAGATTGCCCCACGGGAGGTTGACGTGCACGCTAGGTGGAAGCTTGAGAGAAGAAGAGACGAAGACAGAGCCGTAAATCAGAAGCAGCTAAGTAGTAGTAGTAGTAGTCGTCGTCGTCGTAGTCGTAGTAGTAGTAGAAGAAGAAGAAGTAGTAGTAGTAGTAGCAGTAGCAGCAGCAGTAGTAGTAGTAGTAGTACTAGTAGTAGTACTAGAACTAGTACTAGTAGTAGTACTAGTACTATACTAGTAGTACCGAAGCAAAAACGCGCAGCAAGAGAACAAAGGAACAAGATGGAACAAGCACAAGCCAAGAACAGAAACAAGAACAACACCTTCCAATCAGACACGCCGGCCGGCCGGCGGATTCCCTACCTGGGATGGATATTTTAATCCCACAAGTTTTTTGCTAGGAAAATAAGCATCACCAGCACATGTTTTTTGTGGATTATCAAAAATTGACCATGATTCTATCTACTCCAGGATGGCTATAAAGGTACCCTGTAGACTGAGGTCTTTGCATCCAGGGGGCTGTCATCATGGTATCGCCGCCTCCTTGGCTATCCAAGAAATGGGAATTCAACTTATGGGGCACCATAGAATCATCACCAAATGGTGCAGATGGTGCTTTATTATTTTTCAAGATAGATAGATAGATGGATAGATAGATAGATAGATAGACAGATAGATAGATAGACAGATAGATAGATAGATCAATAGATGGGTAGATGGGTAGATGGATAGATGGGTAGATGGATAGATAGATGGATGGATAGATGTACGGTATATAATATATGTTCTCACTCCTGGTTTTCCCCCATGGCCATCGTCAGAACAGCACACAAAAAAAAAACAGGGACCGAGTGATGTAATCCCATCCCCAAAAGAAACTGCAGATGCCTTGGTTGGAATCCAAGCTGGCAGAAGTTACAAAAATGGCCGGTGCTTGCAGATGTTTAAAAAAGTGACCCCTATTCGGGATGATGATGCCCAGTGGCAACTATTTAAGGGACTGAAACCACCAATGAGATAATGAACCCTTCTATCCTACATGCGAGACCCCAAAGTCGAAAGATCCATGAGATTCTATTCCAGAACTGAACGAAGGGTTCTTGTGGAGGTCTATAATTATGTGCGGGGATAATATATATATATATGCATCATTTGTGTGATGTTTGAGTACTGCAACTCTCGGCCAACGGCATACTTGGAATGATTGGAAGCACCGGCAGGAATCTCTATTGAAAAAAATGCAGTACTATTGTTGCAGACTTTGAAAGGCAATTCTAGAAGTGGACAGACAACATCAGGTTCCATGGGTTTCAACACGTTTCAATTGTTTTAGGTCGGGTTGGTTCATAGTGGAGGTGTTTCAGACCCGCACGCGAGACGCGGGCGTCAATTCTGGCCAAAGGAAGTGCTGAGAGGAGCGCAAGAGGGTACAGCACATCAGCCTGCAATGTTTGCTTAGCCACTGAACACATGGACCTTTCACGTGCAAACAACAAACCGATCATGGTAAAAAGACATGTGTCATTGGAAAATTGGTATGAACGTGCGATTATGTTTCTGAAATGGTTTGATCTCAATATAAATGGCATTACAAATTAAAACATATCAATAATATATATATATATGTATATGTATATATTTATATTTAGATATTTTTAATAAACATGTATAAATACATAATGTTTAAGCATATGCAAGATATGATGTCTCCACTTATTTTACCTATATCCAAGTGCTATCCCACTGTGCCTACACCCGTGGCGCCGTGGGATCCATGTGCTCATGGATTGCATCCGCGTCCGCAGTCGCCCCGAGTCCAGGCACAAGTTGTGTGTCATCATGTGGATTTGTTACTGTGAGCTATAGTAAACTGTTGGGTTGTTATTTTTACAAATGGATTGTTATTAGAAACTGCTGGATTTGTTACATTTTACTGTGAACAATCATTCGGATCATTAGATGCTATAGACTACTGTGTAGATAAAATTAGTAAATGTCATTGGTAACTGTCAAGAATGATCTATAGTAACGATTGGATTAGTTACAAACCGTTTCTAATTATATATATGTAAATGTATATTTATTTAAAAACTGATAGTTATTAATTCCCCAAGCAGTGTGGCCACACCGAAGGGGTTCTTACCGGAAGTGGTAAGGGCCGGTGTTCAATCGAGGTGGTATCGGAAGCGTCCGGCATTTTCCGTGCAATTTTCTGCACAAAATGCCTCTTCTGACATGTCCGTGTGCATTTGACTGCGCAGACTCGCACAAAGTGTGCTTCACGGTCTTGGGATCGGTCTTCCTCCTCAACATCATCCTCCTCAACTTCATCATCTTCCTGCTCCTCATCATTTTTCTCTCACCATCATCATCTTCATCATCATCATCACCATCATCATCACCATCATCATCATCATCGTCGTCGCTGTCGTCATCATCATCAACAACATACTCATCAAGGTCATCCTCCTCATCAACATTAAAATACATGATCTTTTACTCCCCCCTGTTCGGGGCCTCCTGCCGGGATAATAGTTTTTAATCCAAAGATCTCGGAGGTACAAGAGTTCTTAAGGCCCTTTAGTATCATTGGATTATTTTCTATTGATAAATACTATTTAGGATCTAACCATAGTTTTTGACATGATTTAGGATCTAATGGTACCAATGATAGTCACTGGACCATTTGTGACAACCATTTGTGATAGGCATTAGATAGAGCGGGGAACATAGCCAACAATATGATACGTGACTGAATCAATGCGAGGCACATCAAAAACCTGGTGAACAAACTGGTTGATAGGGGTTCTACTAGCTGACTTATGGTGATTGCTGGCTGAACCAAAGTTTCACTGGATTGTGTCTGAAAATGAGAAATTAAACCCTCGTCATGGCTATTTTAATGAATATGATTCTGATCAACCAATGGATTTCGGGTCTGTTCTCAAATAGACCCATGTGGATTTATTTGTTAGCATTGGTGGTATCTCCCAACTATGGACATGTTGACGAGAAAATCTGAATGAAATGGGAGTACACTTCTGCCCATAGCTGCCCCAAGAATCTGAAATGCAAGCAATTTTTCCATTAAACACACGCGCACACACATAGTATACATTCAAAGTGTGTGCAATCCACAAAGGGAAAAACCGTATGGTTTACATCGTTGTGTTTCCCACAAATAATACAATTTTTCCGTCTATGTTGGGGTATGGTCTATTGCTTTCAACGTTGGAACTTCTTTGCTGCACATCTTTGGCCCAAGCACATTGGTTGTCAAGGACAGTATGCTTCACCAACAGATGAATATTTGATGTTGGGTTGAAACGATTCAGTACAAGTCAACATCACTCAACTTGGTAGCTCACTCTAACAGGTAAGAGCTGGGTTTAGCAGAATTTCATTAAAATACACCCCGCACAGATAAGAGTTTGGACCATTGGAACTGCGGGGCATCTTGTGCCATGCCGTGGAACGGCTATCGCAACAGCAAGAAACCCACAGCTGATGCCTGGCTGGGAGGCACCCGAACGGACACGAAGCGGACTGAGAGGATCATTTTTAAGCTGGACCCTCGTCCCTGGGCTGTCATTGGTGTAATTGACTTGGCGTTTGTCATGTTTTGACTTTCCTCCAGTTGTCCATCCCTCTTTTGTTTCGTTTTTTCGGGTGGAAATGACAATACCGTGGCGCAAACCTTACGCGGTTTGGGCCCCCTGGAACCCCGAGCCCAGTTTTTTTTGATGGTCCACCATCCGTTTGTTGGGAATCAAAACCGCGGGCATTTCTGAGATGCCTGGGATAGATGAGTTGCCCCCTCCCTTCGCCCACACTGGCAGTTTTGGAGAGTAATTAATAGAGGGATGATAAAATCAAAGGTCAGTGACAAGATTCAAAAACAAAGGTAAATTGAAACAGCAATGGTAAAATCAAATCCACTGGTCTGCAGCTCACCTTTCTGCTGCCTTTAAGCCTAAGGTGACTACAGCACAGGCCAATTCGTGAACTCACCGAAAGTGGGGCCTTACAAGTCATTCAAATGTTTTCTGAAAGTGTTTCCAGCTGGAACTGCGCAGTGTCTCGATGGCATTTTTGCATCGAAAGTGCAACTACCCTTTTTGCAAGTTGATGATATGGCAAAGGAGGCTTCCCACGCTGGAACATCATGACTGCTGAGGGATTGTCCATTCCCATTCCCATGTTTGTTTCCTGGAGGGTATGTTTTTGCAATCCTCATACGCATATCATATACACACATGATTACATATCTAGAATTACACATGTTCAGACTAACTTAATCCATGTACGGCGACTGGGGATCAATGCCAACTGTATTCAAATGTACCATCTATTGGACTAACACATGTGCAGTCGCTGGCTTGAAAGATATAACCAAAAAAGATGACAAAGTATATTTAAAATCATGACTCTCATTTTGTTATTTCGCATGTTATTATATATAGTGTATATCATATTACAAACCAGTTGATGTAGTTTGTGTAGTTTATGTATACGCACACACAGGCACACACACATATATATATTTATATATATATATATATGTATACACAAGTTATTATGTTTTGTTATAGTGTATCAAAGTAAGTTACATCATTTAAGGGCTGCCGCCCCTGCCGCCGACCCCGGAAAAAAAACTAAATCAACCCTACGTGAAACCCGACAGAAACCCAAAAGAAACCCGAAATAAAACCCTTAAGAGATGTAAAATTATTTTGTTCTATTCTCTCCTGTTTGTATCCTAAATGAAATTTTAAAGACTCCAGGTGAAAACCAAAGAAACTCTAAAGAATTGCTGCTAAGAAACCCCTACATGAAACACTAAAGGAACCCTAAAGAAATCATAAATTGACCTAAAGAAACCATAAATGAAAGCCCAACGAAACTTTGAATGAAACTCTAAATGGCATCCTAAAGAGAGCCTAGGATTGTATGGATCAAACTAAATTGGCAGAAATATGCTTTGTTGCTGCGCACCGTGTCTCTGAAGGACGAGCTAGTTCCAAAACCACGCCAAAAAATTGCCTATAACGTGTCGTCTGAAATCCTCGAAAAAAAACATTTTTGGACAGCTTCTGTTGCCTTCTGTTGCCTGCGGCTGCTGCAGTAAAACAGCTTCAAAAAAATCACCTCCCGGGGTGAAAACACCGTGCCTCTGAAGTATAGTTTCAAAACCACGCCAAAAAACTGCCTAACGTGTCGTCTGAAATCCTAGAAAAACAACATTTTTCGACAGATTTTCTACAGATTCTGTTGCCTGCGGCTGCTGCAGTAAAACAGCTTCGAAAAAATCACCTCCCGGGGGGAAAACACCGTGCCTCTGAAGGACGAGCTACCACAAGGTTCTTCCTTACTTGCCTTACATCAATTACTTATAACTTACATATACCTTACTTATGCCTGACTTATTTTAGATTACTTATCACGACATAAATCCTTACATATAAGTAGCCTAAGTAGGGCGCACGTTTTTCAAAAGTCTTTTTTTTTGACTTTTTTAAATTTTTGAGAAAACCAAATTTTTGAAGGCTTGTGATGCTCGTTGTTTGAGAAAATCCATGATTTTTGAAGGTTTTTCAATTTGTTTATGATGTAGTTTGATGTTTGTGATATTTGTTTATTCAGCAGCAACACTGTTACAATCCTACAGCGGGCACACCGCCATTTATACCTACAGCGAATTTCCCGCCACCTACGACATCGCCGTTGAATATCAGTGTAGATGGTTAGAGGTATGTTGTATTTGTGTTTTATCAGTGGAGGATTATTTTCAGAATGTATACAGTGTTTTTCGAATAGACCTCAAGACAAGTATTAGTGACGTCCACATTCTCTGACTGATCACGCTTTTTTCTTCACAGCAAGCAAGCAACTTGATCTTGATCCCATCGCCACCACGGCGGCTGTGTCCAAGTTTGTGCAAGGATTGGCATTAGATGATATTGGCTGGACGTTTTCCACACCTTTCCCCATCTGTGAGTTCTCACAAGTTGCAACCTGTGCAGCCAAAAGTAGTTTTCATGTCCAGCTAAGATCGTTTGCACCAGACCTGCTGTTCCATCTGCAAGATATAAAATGTCATCAGGGTGCACAGTGGACTGGTAGTAACGCAAAGCTTTCACGGTCTTCAGGCCTTGATCTCTGGCCAAATCTTTGAGTACCTGTGCTGCATCTTGGAATGGCGGTACCAGCTTCAAGGGTTCCAGTGGTTGTTCTTGAACTCGATTTGCCTGGTTGGAGAGTAATCTGGGCAACATGCTTTTCTGGAAGCCATCTTGGGAGGTCGACTTCATACGTTCTGCCAAACCATGTTTGTAATTGCGATGCTTCGACTCATGCGTTTCACATTGCAACGCAAGCGACATTTTGATAAAGGCCTGAGGCACGTGCATGCGATGGTGGTGTTTGGGTTTCACCAGGTCGACGGAGTAGCACGTAACAAAACTTCTTTGATGAATTTCTTGCGCTCTTTGCAACGGCACCACGTCAGCAGGAGACACTTTGTTCCATTGGTACCGCAGCTTGCGAAGTTCTGCGCAGCAAGCAGCTAAATCCAAGAAACTTGACAGGTACGGTTGTAGATTTTCCACACTGCTGCAGCCTTCCACGAGATAGTACACCAGAAGAGGTACCAGCGACTCCGTCTGTGTCGCTTGTCCTTTATATACAGTCTCCGTGAAACATTTCTCAGAGAAGAGACTCTTGACATACGAGGACAAGCAATGTTTGCTACACTTGGGACCCGTCCATCGACTTGTCAAGGCAGCGTCTTTCATTTTTTCCCAGGTCCAGGACGTGTACT